CGCGACCGGACGCCTGTCCACGGAAATTCTTCTCAGCGATCTCGGACGTCCCTTGCGGATCAGCGTGATGTCATGACGCCGATGTCCGAAAACCGCGTGATCGCTCCTAGTAAGAATCCCGAAGAGAGCCTCTCCGAGAAGGATACTCGTCTTCGCACAATCATGGCGGAGTACAACTTCGACGTGTCCTCCCTCCCCTCCCTGGAAGTTCTGCGCGAGGAGCGTGTCCGTCTGATAGAGGAAATCCGGCATCACAAAGACGAGCAGGACTCGCTGTCGCTGGATATTGAGGGCTTGGAGGGTGCGGCCGAACTTTACAACACCGCCGCTCGCGTTCAGCGTCTCGAGAACTTCGTTGCTGAGGGCTCTGTGTATGTCGAGAAGGTGCTGCCCGGCGAGATCGAACGATTCTTGGAGGATGACCGGAGGCGCTCTGACGAGGAGGTCGCTGCGTACGCCCAAGAGCTGGATTCCAGGCGTGAGAGGATCTTGCAAAAAGCTTCCGCTGCTAAGGAGCGCACCACGAAGCTGGCCAATAGGCAGGCCTCCAAACACGTGGATCCGGAGCTGGACGACGGCATCGAGAACACCATCGCACATGTGGATGGGAACGTGGGCCAGATAGAGTTGTTAAGCGATAAGGTCAAGAAGTTCCGCACGCTGAAGAGTAAGTTGCTTGCCGAGTTGGCACGCGAAAAGAAGGACTCCGCTGGGATGGAAAAGAACCTCAACATTCAGATCAAGAATGCCGAGCTCAGCAACGCCCGTGATGCGCGTCTGTCTAAGGAGCTCAATGCGAGCAATGCCAGTCTCACGGCAAACGTGCAGCTGCTGATGAATCAGCTGAATGTGGAGCACTACGGCATCGACAACGTTCCAACGAACGCGCAGCTGGAGGAGGGGTACAGGAATCGAATGCTCATGCTGGAGGCAACTCCTGTGAACGCCCGGGAAAGCGTGCCCGAGCCGGAGCTCCCTGTGTATGAGTCATTGAACAACGGTGATGGGGTGGAAAGCGGCCCGCGTTCGCGCGGCTCACAACCCTTGCCAACTCCACTGAGGAGGATGGAGTCTCAGGGCAGTCGCCGCAGTGGGCCCATGCAGCAGGTCCCGCGGATGCCGAGTGAGAGGGTCAACCCAACTCCGAAAGAGATGCGAAATGGCTCACGCCATGGTAGCATGAGTCTGCCAAGGATCTCTGAAAAGCCTGTGGAATCCGTGCACAGTCATTCAAACACAGAGGAAAACGTTCCTAAGGCTGGCGTGGTATACTAATCCAATGTCAGTGGGAAGGCTCAAGAAGTGAGACGCGCCAAAATCAAAATTTTTGTAATGCGTTGCATAAATGTCTCCATTCGTCTCATTTTTGTCTGAACAGAGAAGTATCAAATGACAAGCGCAATATTCGTTTTTGAAGTTGAAAATATTAATATAATACACAGGCATCAGGTTATATTGATATCTGCGCCAAAAGGTGAACCCTGACTTAGTAGTCTATAGTAGATTTTGATAAATGTCAAGCTCCAACTATGGTAATGCAGTTAAGTCCTTGTGTATTGTCTTACTTTTACTTAATTATATTTAGTTCTATTCATAGAACAAATTTGAAGTGGGAATTTCTATCGTTTTTTAAAATATGTTTCATCATTTTCTAGCAACTGATGAGTTGTGTTGTGGAACAGAGAATTCGATTCCGAGGAGGAAAATATGTATATATTATTTATATACATATATATATATATATATATTTAGGGAAGGCATAATTTTTTTAAATTAAGAAAAAATAGATATAGCGATGTTTATCATTATTGTGACATTCGTTGTTTCATAAGGTTGGGATCTATTTGTGCGTTGATTGCGTGATGTGTGTGTGTGTAGGAGGGGAGAAAGAGGAGATGGATTATAGTGTTTCGTTGGGTCGCTCCCACTTCCTTAATGAGACTACTTGGATACCTTTACGGGCCTTGGTTACTGATGCATTTTATTTTATTTGATAAAAGATGATGGTCAAAACAACAGCTTCCAAATAGCTATCTAATAGCGAACGAAAAGTACATAAATTATTTATAAAAATAATGTACGGCAATTTATTGCAATATTTACGAAGTTGAGGAATACACAATAATATACTCATGGTGAAAAAAACCAGGGATTCATTGGAAAAGCAATATTATGAGCTCTCTTTTTTGTCTTCTCAATTTATGTGGAACGGGTTCTTGCTTTCTTTTGCCTTTTTATTATCCCTTTTTTCGTGAATGATATAATATATTCAATTTATATCCTTTCTTTCTCTCTAACAAATCTAGCTTTTTTTTTGTACGTACGATGATTTTCTAGACAACAACCACTTAAATGAAAATATTGCAAGTTCTACCGTTTTGTAATCATAAAATTGTTTTTCAACACTTTATTTTAGATGAGATGCTCGCTGCATGCTTAATTCTTTCGCTTTTCATCCCTATTTATTTAGTGCCATGTAATCTAGAGGGTGGCAATATAGAAACACGAATAGTGGAAATTTAAAGTTTTAACATTTTCTAAATCTTACTTGAGGGTTTGCATCACCCATGTTTAGTCTCGATTCTTTTTTTGCCAGGATACGACAGTGGCACAACTCGAAGGATAGCATCGCGTTTTTGGGATATAGTGAGCTGGCGCTTTTTTTCCTTTCTTCTTCCAACCTCGCACCGCGTGCGTGGGTTACACAGCTTGACTGTTATCAGGATACCCATAGAGGTCCTAAAAGAAGAAGTGATCGTGTGGGAGATCGGGTGGTCGGACTGCCGATCTTTTCCCATATTCACCTCGCTGTGGTCGCGGCCTGTTGTCAGAAGGTGACCATTCTCACCAACGATGAACTGGTCTCGCTCGTGGTTTTCTCCCGAACCCCTTTCATTGGATCCATCCTCCTCACCGATTCCTGCGAGGATGGGAAATACGCCAGTGACGAGGAGAACGATGGGAAAGGGGGCGGGCCCACGGAGGAGTGTTACCGAAGTGGGCTGACGGAGCCGATGCGCATCGCCAAGTGTCTGGACGACTTGCTACGCCGCGCGCACCGGGCGGACTGCGTGTGGCGAGGCCGACGTCCGTTACAAATGCTCTTCGGTACGGATCCGTCTTTACGATTGTCGGAGTCGACGGTCGTGCGGGCGCGCTGTGCCGCGGTGAAGGTGCGTCTCGTTGTGCCCTCAGGGAAGGCCGAAGGGGCGTCGTCGGGGGGTTCGAAGCCCAGGTTGAGGTTTCTTTTACCCCGCGCGACCCCACCAGGCCGGTTGGGCCGGGAGGCCCAGGATAGCGTGCGGCGCCTCGTATCCCCGTCACCCCCACCCCTGTCGTACGTCGGCTCCAACACCAATGAGCGCATTCTGAATCTTTTTTTTCCCTCCCGCCCGAGCAAGGGCGGGAAACGGGACCGGGAGGAAGGGGGGAGAGGTCCCACCGCGGCGGCGGATTCGCCGCTCAGCGAGTCGGGCTTCCAAGAGTTAAGTGCGAACCGTCTGCGGGGTGTGTGTTTGCTGCTCCACCTCCATGGATACATTTTGGAGGGGCAGGGCGAGATGTCTGCACCCCTGCCCTCAATTGTTGGGCGCGACACGGTGGAGGCCTTGGAGGGGTTCCTCGCCGCCACAGATTGGGATGGCACGGAGCAGGAGCTCGGAGGTACCTCAAATGAGGATGCCACAGAAAAGGATCAAATGAACGGTGAAAAGGAGTCTACTGAGCAACTCCATACCTTGCTGGGGGGCTGGCATTTTCGCTGTAGTTTCTGTGCTGGGAAGCCGCCTGTCAGGATTGACAGGATCACTCTTCCTGAGCCGGAAGATTCTGTGCAGACTCCATCAAAGACGGTTCAAGAGTGCACATCTGAGCCCATTCAGCCGGATGAGTCTCCTGCGCAGCCTGCTGGTGAGGATGAGACGAAACGCGATCGTGAAAATGGATGCGCCGGAGAGGTGCAGGATACACATTCGCATGATAGTGAGGATGCTAACAGCGCATCTAATGAAGACCATCAAGACCCTAGTGGTGACGAGAGTAAGGGGGAGAATCCTGCTGAAGTCGATGTGGTTGATCCAGCACATGAATGTTCGATTCAAACTGAGCAAGACTGTAATGGACACTCTCCAACCCCTGAGGCGATAGAGAACGTATCCTATCGACCACCTTTCACCCCTAAGCAGCGCCACCCATCCATTATCACGGTATCACTCAGCGCGCGTGAGCCTCTAAACGGTCACCGCGACTGGTGCCCATGGAAAAATTTGTTCTTGGATGTCGTTCTCAAGGGGCAAAGCGGGGGTGGTGAAGGAGATGACGCACAGGTGATTCCTCCACGTTTGGTCTACATGGATTTTAGTGTAAGCAACTCGAGTGAAGGTGGGAAGGGGAGTTTCGTTAGCGAAGAGCATTCGGCTAAATTATCGCTACCATCGTCAGGAGAAGCCTCTGAGTGCTCTCGGGATCACGATGCAGGTGAACCAGAACCACCCAAAAAGATCGATGATGGAGCGAAAAAGGAGCATGTGAAAGATACGCTACGCTTCCAACTTACTTTCACTGAGATAGAGCGGCTTATTACCGTCTGGCGAACTAGTGAAGACATTGAAAGACGTTTTCGGTACTCATACCTGGTGAATCCTTTCCCGGAGAAAGTATGGCGACTTAGCCGGCGCCAGTTCTTGCCATCCGCGGAGGCAGGAGATGCCGTCTCCTCTGTCGTGGAGGGATCCTCTTCCCCGGTTGCCATGGAGGCGTTCCTCGCCAATTTGCAAAAGCGCTTGGACACCGTAGGGAATGGCGCCGGGGCAGGCCTGGAGGGGTCGTATCGAGCGGCAAGTGTCGTTTACTGGCCAACTATGATGACGGAGACGGCATCCAGTGGCGGTGGTATCGGCGAGAAAACCTTGACGTTGGTGGCAGATACAATTCAGACCCTCCTGGGGGCTGAGAACTCGACAAAGGGGCTGTCATCTGTGGATCTGGCTGAGGATAGCGCCACGGATTGTAAAATCGGCACACGACCCACCACTTCCACGACACCACCCCTCGATACCACCGGTTCGCATTTCACCCCTCTCTTGGCGGAAGGCCTTATGCTGCTGAAAAAGATGTCGGCCTCAGCCATCCCCCCCTCTCACACGGGCAGCGCCGCCGATGCCTCATCGAAGCGGCAGGATTTGGCAAAACAGTGTGCGGATTTCATAGAACGTATGGACCGCAAGTGCCTCCCAAAAATCTGCCCCATCATGGATACCAAGGACGGCGTAGCGGGCAGGGATCGGATTGTCTTCGATGTGTTACAGAAACTTGTGAAACCCACAATCGCACTGCTTTATCACGACCACCTTTTTCCTGTTGAGACCATCGAGGGGTTGTCTAAGCCGACAGCGCCAACCACGACCTCTTCTGTGGAAGCCGCAGAAGCTGGCGTTGGTGTGGGTGTTGGCATCGACGACAGCGCAAAAGAACCGGAAGTTAAGCCTCAGACCAGTTTATTGAGCAGTACCGGCGGTGGTGTAGCCTCTAGTGGCGGTAGCTCTTCACTCGGATGGTTTTGGAGCTCAACATCGCTGGCGGATGCGAGGGGCAGTGTCGAAACCTTTTTGAATGAGCTAAGACAGCGACAACACCCCCAAAATGCAAAGGTTACCCACGAACCGCAGCAACCGTCGTCTAAAGTTTCAAGGCTCTCGCCCCAAATTGCTTCTTCAGTTGGTCCAACCATTCAACAACGTTCACTAAGCCCCTCAAAACCCCCGTCATTTCAGGATGCGACGAGGTTCTTGAATGCACCGAACTCGTCGTCTACGTATCATTCGGAATCTTTGGAGCCCCATGAACATCGCGGTGCGAGGCGCTCGGCAGCGTTAACCTCTCGATCCCCAGCGTTGGATCCGCCGGACGGTTTCTCCGCGTCTCCGAGCGTGTTCACGAACCCAGTAGCGAGCCCGGATTGGAGGGGGTTCCCCATGTTGCCAAAGGAGCCCTTGTTGCCTTCTACGTGGGATCGTTCGACCGCCATATTGCCTAGTGGGGCCTCCCATCCCACTCCTTCTTCTTCTACGGATACGTCAGTTCTTGGATCCGTACGATTCCAGAAAAAACAGTCGAGGTGGGGACCTCAGGCCTCGCATCACGAGTTGCCCTACCAGCCATTCCGGCCACGACGACCGCTGTCGCCGTCGAAAGTGGTATTTTCATCCCCTCCCATGCCCCAGGAGTCGTTTGCATTTGCACATCCTTCCAATGTGAATGAATTTCAGCCTCCTTTCACCAGGGTAACTGAAGGGAGGTACCCAACCAACAGCGGCGGTGTTGGCATGGGAACGCATAAATCAGATAGTGGAATTTTTCCAACCTCTGATAACGACCCCAACACAGCGCCGCCATCAATGCAGGATCCTTTTTCATCATCACACCTTTCCTCTGGCCCTCATGCGCATATGCTCAGTTTTGCGGACCCTGGTAATGAACCCTACTACCAATCTTCCGCCCGTTACCCACCTGGATTATACTCTCAGGGAAACCAAGGTATTTTGGATGGTGATCCTAATATTGCTACTCTGCAGTCTGAGAAACAGCAGTCATCTCAACCTCACCGGCCCCGCCGGGGTGGTGGGGTGGCAGGTGGACGCCGCAGAAGAGGGGGTGGTGGCGGTCGAGGTGGCCGTGTGCGTAGAGGATCTTAGAATGTAATCATAACATGGCTTAATCTCTTTCTCTTGGTAGCACTCACAGGTTAAGCAAGTGAACTGGACGAACTGGTTCGCCTTTTCCATTTTATATGCCCAAAAGCTTGTCAAGCTATTCTAATACCTGTGGATCAGTGTTCGTCTTCACTGAACGCTTACTTTTCGCCCCTGATAGCAGGCAAGCTCCTTTTTTGGTTGTGTTCTCCAATTAAAATTAGTGATTCGCATTTGTTTAAATGTTTCACTTGGTTTAGTTCGTGTTTGGGTATTAATCTTTGGATGACAAGAAAAAGAAATTATGAGGTTATCTACATTTGATAGTAATAGCCAATAATCCATAGACCATTGGCAAGGGTATTTATCATGAGAAAATTCCATCTCACTCCTTTCTTTTTTAAAATTTGCCATATTCCAAGTAGATCATTCGTAGATTTATACTTTCATAGGTCCCTTGAAAAATAGTGGTGTGTAGATAGTATCATTTGTACATGAATGTGTGAGAATAAATAATCTCTCATACACACACGCGGATAGGAAGTCATATACATTATAATCGATTTAATTTACTGCTTGATGGCACTAATTTTACAGAATGAGATTCAAAAAGAAGTAGAGGAGATTCAGAATTTACGCAAAACGTTACATGACGCGTATATTGTGGAGGGAAGACGGTCTGGGTCCTGTGGCTCCTATGGGGACGATCTTCCACCTGTCATTACGACCCGCCGCACCGTGGATAAACCGACTTTGACTTTGCTGAAGTCCGCGAACTACCCATTTTTAGTGTGCGAGGAGGCACCTCCATCTTACAACCCCCCGCCGGTGCCGTACGATGTGAAGCAAGATATCGACGTTATGAAAAAGCGTGTGATGCAGATTCAAAAAGGGCTCGCTGCGTACTTGGGAGCGAAGGGCTATCCACCAATCACTGATTCGGCGGAGGTAACAAACGAACACCGTCAGGCTGTTCTAGAGTTCCTTAGCGAGAGCCGTGAGTTTGCGGAGCTCGCGTGGGAAGTGAGCTCGCTGGAGGCTTTCCATCGCTGGGTCTTATCGCACTCCATCAGCTGCCTCTGGAATGCGAAGGATGAGCTGGAGTACGTGCTGGCCGAACGAGGCGAGCCGCTCCCCATTACCACCGAGGAGATGGATGCGTGCTTGAACACGTTTAGTTTCCGCGAGGCCGCGAATATTCTTGAGACGGATCGCAAAAGCGCCGTCGCTCTCGAGCAGCATCGGATGCACTCCAAAAGCCACACCTACCGCGAGCGTCTTCCGGAGAAGGCGATCACGGCCGCCACGAGTTGTTATCTCTCCCCGGAGGAGAAGTACATGTATCAAGAATTTTTCAACGAGTCGGAGCACTGGCTCCTCTCACTAAGCCACGCGCTGCTGGTGGAGCGGTTTTCGGAGGCCGCCCGCCCCGCCCTGCACGCGGGCTCGCCCAGCGGAGGGGGGGCCCTTCTCCCCGCCTCCGGAGGCGAGGCGACGAGGGAGGGGAGCCGGGGGGCCGCCCTCACCCCGCGATCCCGCCGCACCTCTGGCAGCCTCACCGAGGCGACCGAGCGCACCCTCGCGGCCCTGCACGCCGAGCACGCGGTCATCGCGAATCTCCTCCGGACGATCGAGGAGCGGCGGGCCGGCGGGGTCCACTTCGACGTCGCCGACGAGGAGGCGGCGCGGAGTCGGACCGCGCAGCTCGCCGTCTACGGCTGCCTGTTGAGTGATATGCGGCTGATGGCGGCGCAGATGGCCGCCGCGCAGGGGTTTCTCCACCGCTTCTCCGGCTGGCTCCACGGCCTGGGCTTTCGCGACGCGGACGAGTTGCTGCGCGGGCTCCCCGCGCGCGATGGCGGCGGCGCGGGAACGGGGGGGTGGCCCTGGCCACGGTTTCACGCGGCGCGTCTCG